ATGTGTGTCTGAATTAGCTGGAAGAATTTCCAATATAACCAAAAGACTTAGGGTGTCACAGAAATTACAGGTACTATAACATCGAGACATGGCAAGGACGATTTCTAAGACAAGGTGATATTACTTGAATTAAAAAAGCTTTTTTCTACTTTTGTTCACATGAGAAAAAGTAAATATTTAACACATTGATTCTACCTTCCTGGCCTGCTCCTCAGCACGTTCTTTTTTAATTTTTTCCAGCTCTGCGAGAAGGGCTGCAGTGTCATCATCGTCACTCTCTTCTTCGAAGTCTTCATCTTCATCTTCCTCCTAAGACAGAATGGTGATGGCCCAGGAGATTGGAGACAAAACATACATTATTCATTTTTTCCCCCATAAAAATTGCACTTATCAAATCTCTGGAGCAGAATTAATTTTCCTAGTCGGACGGTAAATGCATCTAAATATGATTAAAATCAGCAACCAACCAAAACGCAAAACAAAATCCCACAAAAAAGCTTACAACTCCTTATTAAAATGTCAACCTCTGACGTGGTTTAGACATTATAACAGCAAGTGGTATAATAAAGTACCTTTCAAATGTACAGGGTCAAAAGGGAATTTACATACAAAAATATTCCTAAAGCCAGAAAACGAACACTTTACACTAATACACAGTACATACTTTGATGCTGGGAGTCAAAATAATTTTATACAGCTCCAAACAACCAGAAGGTTAAGGATAATCAAAAGTACAAAAAAAAGGGGCTAAATTCTCAGAAGAAAATAATTTCAAATGAATAATCATTAAACCTCACTTAAAATTCGGTTCCCTATCTTTAATTACTGAGTTAATTTTTAATTCAGTCTGTTAACTCTAGAATGGCTAATATATATGCTTAATTAGATATTACCCTTGAAAAGTCACTCAGATTTTTCCTCTGTATATAGAAATCTGCAAATAATTACAGACTGTGTGGCCCCACTAAACTTTAATGTTTAAAGTTAATGCCAACCATTAAAAACCTTTCACTTAG